CCTGCTAACCAAAGGAGTGCATAGCTTAATTCTATACTGTTTATGCTTCTCATCAGGAAACTGAAAAGGGCTGACATCCTATATAATAAAAGGGTAATATGCAAATTGACCCTAACAGCAGAACAGGGAACATCTGGTCGCTGTGACACACACTGACCACCAGGGGGCAGATGCTCAATGCAGGAGCTGCCCTTGGTGGTCAATGCACTTTCACAGGGGGAGCTCCACTCAGCCACAAGCCAGGCTGACAGCTTCGAGCACAGCTGAGGTGGTGGGAGCCTCTCCTGACTCTGCAGCATTTGGACATCCCCCAAGGGCTCCCCGGCTGCCAGAGGGATGTTTGACTGCCAGCGTCGGCCTGATTCCCTAAGCTGGCAGGTGGGCATCCCCCAAGGGCTCCCAGACTGTGAGAGGGTGCAGGCCAGGCTAAGGGACACCTCCCCCCCTCCCCAAGTGCACAAATTTTTGTGCACCAGGCCTCTAGTAAAGTTATAAGGATATCTGACTATCTTACAAGACATTTTACAGACTCTTTTAAAGTTTTAGTCGTGACAGGATTCCCAGGTAAAAATGGGCAGCTATTTCCTATTTTACTTCTGGCTGCTTCCTCACTTTTGTTTTGTCAAGACTTCAGCCAAGCCCCTGTGGAAGGTAAGTGTATTTATGAAGCAAACCCCTTTCCTTTGCCTGGCCTCATTTTTTGGCTGTATAGCAGTGGTCTCAACCTTCCTAATGCCGCACACTTTAATACAGTTCCTCATGTTGTGGTGACCCCCAACCATAACATTATTTTCGTTGCTACTTCGTAACTGTAATTTTGCTACTATTATGAATGATAAAGTAAATATCTGATATGCAGGATGTATTTTCATTGTTACAAATTGAACATAATTAAAGCATAGTGATTAATCACAAAAACAATATGTGTGTTTTCCGATGGTCTTAGGTGACCCCTGTGAAAGGGTCGTTCGACCCCCAAAGGGGTCGCGACCCACAGGTTGAGAACCGCTGCTGTATAGGGAGAAACCCCAGTTTCAAATCTTTAGGCTCCTTTCCCCTTAACATTCATGCTACTTGGAAAGACAGTGAGGCAAACAAAGGTCTCACATTGTTACGTTTTTTTTAAAGTGTCAACTAAGAACACTATCCTCTTTTTTTAATATATATTTTATTGATTTTCTACAGAGAGGAAGGGAGAGAGATAGAGAGCTAGAAACATCGATGAAAGAAACATCGATCAGCTGCCTCCTGCACACCTCCCACTGGGGTTGTGCCCGCAACCCAGGCACATGCCCTTGACCGGAATCGAACCTGGGACCCTTCAGTCTGCCAGCCGACACTCTATCCACTGAGCCAAACCGGTTTCGGCACATTGTTACATTTTATTAAGTAACCATTTATTAAGCCACCTCTCTCCAGGATGGGCACAGGTGTAGGGTTATTTCCTCACATGAGTGTTTTAAAATCTGGGTGGGAGATGACATGCTACAAATTAAGCATTTTAAAAAGTGTAAGGGGAATCTTCTTTTTAATCTCAAGAACAGCCTTTTCACACTTCTTTATCACATTTCTATTGGTTGTGTGCATATAAAGACCAACAAAGAGAACAGATTGGAGGGTGTTGTTGGCATAGGGAAGCTGGAGGCGGACTGTTAGAGGGCACCTTGTGTGACTGATTTGGGGAACCCATTTGACTTCGATGGGTTGGAAGCAGCAGCAGAAAAGAGGGAAGCTGGCGGTCAGACCATCGCTGCCCATCGGGCGGATTCCGGCAGCGGCGGTGGTTTCACTTCCCCGCTGGGCGCTGCAGATGTGTCACCTGGCCTGGCCGCTGTCCTGGGCGTTCGGTCGCAGCGGGGCGAGCCAGGCTTTTCTGTCCCTGACCTAGCTTTCCAGCCTCAATTTCTGTTTTGCCTGGAACAACCTAGCTTTCTTGCTATTTCTGTTAAGGGTTAGCGGAGACATTGAGATATGAAAAGTACTTCTGGGGACAAACACATAAAACCCCTCTGGTGAGGGTCAGGCCGGAACCCCTTTCCCTGCACAACTTATTCCAGGAAAACTGGCTCCCGGAGCTTCCCGGAGCCTTTCTCCGAGGCGCCTCCAGACGACGCGGCCCGAGCCGTGGCCCGGGAGGCCCCTCTCAGGGCGCCTCCGGGGGCAGGAGGTGCAGGTCCTCCTCGGTCACCACCTCGGGGCCGCTGGGGCAAAGGCAGGGAGGACACTTGCGGGCCGCAGCCCTGCGGTGGGAAAGGCAGCCCT